GGTGAGTAATCCGTTTGCACACATGGCGTTGACGTGGATTTTAACGTGCCATGTCACCATTCCGTCAACCACGTGGACAACGCTATTAATGGTTTTGATCCAGTAGCCAACGGAGCGGCAAAGTTTAAAGTTGAGTGGCCAGTGAGATAAGTTTTAAAGGTTAGTAAGTAAACCGTGACATTTATGAAAGTTTAGTGGCTAATGAAACAATTAACTCCTCGTAAGGTTAGAGTAGAAAGTACAAATCTTCTGAAAAACTGAAAAGATATTAAGTTTATGTTTGAGCCACATTATTTTTCTCATTCTCATTCTTATATTCATTTTCAACAACGTATTCTTCAATAAAATAATATTTTCTATTAGATTAATAACCTTTCTTTCTTTTTCAACCACATATTCTCATCACATCAATAGTAAAAATGTATTCTTACTTTCAAAACGTGCACCAAACGGGGGCTAAAACAAGTTAAAATTTTTTAAATTTTCCATGCAATAGTGTATTACCTATTCTACCCTCATGAAGTAAAAGTATAGACGTTATTTTCCCTTACGCCCCTTGAGATACTCATGATGTTTTATGTTGGTTATGTTATGTCTTTCTTTTTTTAAGAGAGAAATATGTATGCTATTTCTCTTAAAATGCTCAAGAAACTAAAACAAATGGCATGTAGCGAACCAATCTGTACAAAAACCAATTGAGTCGAATGTCAGTTAATCCATTTTCATTCCTAAACAAGTGACGACAAATTTTAAAAGATGAAAGAAATTACCGTGGTGCTAGCTTAGCCTTTAAGTAAAGCTCCCTCGATCACTTAACGTGCGTTTTTCATGTTCACTTCTCTGTTTGGAATTAATGACGATTAATGCATTAGATGCCATATAGTTGTTTTAATGTTTATAATTAAGATAATTACACTAATTAAGAACACTTTTTAAATTCAATAGGGTATATTTCATGGTCCGTGTGATATGTCGGACACGTCATTAGTTTCAGTTACAATGATGATTAGAGTAGTTAATGTGAAATAAGATCCTCAATTAGGTGATCGTTGGGAAACAAGTTGAAATATGTTTACCAATATGAAATAAACGTATAAGTTGGATGATGTCAAATAGAAATTACCCTATGTGTGCTCGCGGTAAAAAATCTGGATATGTGGCAAAGTTGTAAATTCATAATTTGCTATATTCATTCGTATGTTAAGAATTGGGGTTATCTTAAGAGGTCAACTTTATTAAGATGAATAGTCCAAGATCTTTATTAATTGGTTTGTATCAATATCATTTATCGATGTGAGATATATATCCCTTAATAAAACCCTCGCAAAGATGGTGACTCATTTGAGCAGATCAATCTTAAAATTCACGTGCTCATTTTAGAGTTTTAACGTGATTGAATCGCTCGTTGGAGTATAATGGGCTCTGATAACATGTTAAAAATTGGATTTCCATCTTAAAAGGTAAATCTTGTTAACAAGAGTAACTCAAAATTTTTATTAATTGATATCTGTCAACATCATTTATCGAAGTGGGATATATCCACGTCTTAAATCCCAACGCACGTAAGTATACAAAAGTGAAAACCATCATCGATTCATTCCTCTCTCTAAGAAGGACAAAACCCCCCAGCAACCTGCGGAAAACATGGATTTAAATTTACTATGACTTCAGATTCATCAGTTTCTTTATGCGTTTCTTGATTAGAATCTGCCTCGATCTGTGCCATTATCATTTCTGTAAATCTTCTGTTTTATGTGTACATAAATGTGTGTATATCTTTTATTGGGTTTCTTGATTTATGATCTGTGGTCTTTGCATCCTGGCTTTCTACGAATTTAAAGTGTTCATATGTCTTACATCTGTATTTATCTATATCTATTTTTGATTCTTGTTAAGGTCGTAGAATGTTGCCTTGATTTTAAACTTGGGTTTTCGTTTGCATGTTGTTCTGAAGGAATTTCCTTTTTTCAACTTTTTTGCAAAAATGGAAAAATCATCCATTACTTTTTATTATCTCATTTTTTTTCTGCTTCTGGAACTATGATTTCCATGCCGGATTAACATTTTTATGTGTAAACGTTCTTATTATTATTATTTGTATACTGGGTTAGTTTCAGTTCTTTATCTTTGATATTTTACCTTTTTATAATCTGGGTATTTGGAGTGTAGCTCGTGTGTCTTTACTGTTCTTGTGTGTGATTCTGCATCTATATATCTTTATATATGATGGGGTTTCGTGTATTTTAGTTGAAGAAATTGAAAAAAGAAAAAAGGAAGAAATGCTGTTACCTTGTGTACGTTTTAGAGCTGAAAAGCCTGAAATCGATTTTTCTTTAATGTTAGGGCAAAGCACTTAAACGAATATAAAAGAGAGGTTGAAATTTATAGTGAAATCCGTTATTCTTCATTGTGGCATATATTTACAACGGACTTTAATGAAGATGACACCTCCTTGATTATCAAATTTGGAAATATTTTGAACTTGCATTGTACAAGCAGCTTATTCCAGTTACCCCTTAGACGATATGCATGTACGAACTTTCTAAAAGTCTTTGATTTTTATACAAGGCTTTGTTTTCTTTTGTTACACGGAGAGTTCTTTGTCATATCTTGTTCATAAATGAAAATATTATGAGAATCTTTAGTATAAAAGACAAACAAGCCGTGTCGAAGCACAAATGAACCATTTGAACGACACATGGTTGGTGTTCCCATAGAGGAAGGAATATGACAGGAGCAGTTTCTATTCTTTGATATGATATTTTGAATACAATATACAATCGTATGAAGTATGTTCGCACGTGAAGTCACACATATAACAACCTCAAGAAGCTAAGCTTTGTTCTTGATTGGAGTGGGCTACATGAATTGAATTGTTTCTCACCTTTGATACATATAGTAGGAGGAAGGCAAAGACGTGTACCTTTGTTATCTTAAGATCACTTTTCCATACTTATCTTACACTTGGGTTGCATTGTTCATTTGGATAGTATCCTCTTAGGTTCCATATAAGATGTTACCATTGTCAAAGTTCAAGTAAGTCTTTCCTTAATTTAACCCTGACTTCTGTTGTCTTTGGTCATTGGTGTACATACTTATTTCTTAAGTTAGTCGTTCTACTATGACCACATATCTATCTTATTATTTTGTTTTTGTTACTTCTTGTTACTGACATTTTGTTCTCTAATTGCCTACAATCAGTACCATAAATAGCATATCTAATGTAATAATCATTTTGTAGAACTTGTCTTAATTAGATATCAATTGATCATAGAGATTTTGCATTGCATTTTTCGTAGCTTCTGACTTCTAATTTTATGCACTGTATTCTAGCTACAAGAATGCCATAGCAATGTAAAACCAGCTCTATATTTGCACGTGTACTATATTTAGGGTGCTAAAATGTATGTGCAGTAGCCAAACTTTACAAGTGAAAATTGCTAAAACATACATTGTGTGTTACGACTTAGTTGACCTTTCAAGGGAACCCAGAGTGACTGTCATTTTATGCAAGTTCTCTCAAGCCATATGCAAGTTTTAAAGTTCATTGTGCAATGGAATCAATTTCTGCAGCTCTACTTTTACCTGGATTGATAGCTTCCATTTACATTTTTACCATGTGTCCATGTCTGATTGAAGTTTGATGCTTGTCCAGTTTCGTATGTGGGATTGCACATTTCTTGCACTTTTAATTTTGGGGTGCAAGGGACATATTTTTGTTTATTTATATGCTCATCCTATTGTGCTAGTGTCCCTTGGTAAAATGCAAAAAATATCACCACAATTAAACTAAGAAAATGTTCTCTATATTGGCAGCACTTGAAGCATTACCTGGATAAATGGTGTATGGTTTGCTGATTAGGTTCTAGTTGGTTGGACGATCAAGGGTATTACAATGCAACCACAATCGCTGAAGCTTACCATCCGGTTGAATAGGGAACAAAATAAGGTTAATGATTCATCTGCCCCTAATCACCCGATTAGAATGGAAGGAAAACCAAATATCCCAAATAGTTCTACTCTTGGGGGCAGCCTGGAGACCACTCTTCAGGATCCATTTTCTTCTACAGATGGAGAAGAAATTCATAACGTAGGAGATGAGGAAAATCAAGCTGGAAATGCTCAAAATCAGTTGGTGCTTTATGACCCTGCTGTTGCCGATAGTGCTCGTGGAGTTGAAGCTGTCCCAGATTCCATTTCTCATCAACCTCCATCCTTTTCTAGATTCCCCCTTTCAAATCAGCCATCGAGGGTATTGCCAGCTGTAGGGGCTTTCACTGTCCAGTGTGCCAACTGTTTCAAATGGAGGCTCATTCCATCAAAGGCAAAGTATGAGGAAATACGGGAACACATTACAGAACAACCCTTCTTATGTGAAACAGCTCGTGAGTGGAGGTCTGATGTATCATGTGATGATCCAACTGACCTTATGCAGGATGAAAGCAGGCTTTGGGCAATTGACAAACCCAACATTTCTCAACCCCCTCATGGGTGGGAGCGACTTCTGAGAATCAGAGGTGAAGGCAGTACCAAGTTTGCAGATGTGTGGGTATCTTATCCTTCAATTTCTTTCCTGTTGTTTGTTTCAAATGGCTTTTGAAGCCTTGACTTATGGAGCTGACATTAATTTCATGGACTTAGATCTAAGCTCACGCAAGGCTTGAGATCACTGTTTTTCAGATTTACTGTCAAGATTGAGTACCCATTGTTTAACATTACTTGCAAAAACTGAGACAGAAACATCTTATTTCTTCTAGCAGATAGATTATTTCTGAAACTAAGTCTATCTTTGTTTTCTTCAAACAGATTATAATGATTTGAGTTATGGAACTGATGTTATATTCATGGACAATATATCTAAAGCTCATGCTAGGCAAGAGATCAAATTCCTATTTTTCTTTAGTAATGATTGAATATGAAATTTTTAACATGTTATGAAAAAACTGAGGTAAATATTTTTTTTCTCTCATAATGAATGCAATTAGCTTCCTTTTTTTTCCCCAAAAATCTTCCATCGGCAGGTCTTTTACCTCAGTAAGTTTATTTGAAAAACTGGTTCTCTTCACCATGACTTAAGTCACAGTTACCTGCTTCTATTATTTAACCATGTTGGGTTTAATGCGACTGGTCTTCCCTATGACCACGCAATGCTATAATCTGAGAGATTTCTTGGACATCAATATTGTCATATTTGTACATGGCCAAGAATTTTACACATTTATTAAAGAAAAAAAAAATTATGTATGAGGAGGGGATATTGGGTGCTCACGTAGCTCACTCGTCAAGGTATATTGTCTCAAGAGGCAAGAATTTGATTCTTCTTGTATATATTCACCCAATACTTATTACTTCAATTAATTGTGAAAGTTCATTATTGATTTATACATGTATTTGTGTTCACTTCATTTATCAAAATAAAATTACAAATTTATTATCATGGTAAAGAACAGATCATATTCTGATTCAGATTGTGTTTTGGGACACAGGTATTACGTTGCACCGACAGGCAAGAGACTTCGATCAACGGTGGAAATTCAAAAGTGTGATCCTCCTCAGCTCCTCTTATTTATTAAAAATGTTTCTTCTTTAATTAATTCCTTAACGTACAAATAGTTGTTGTTGGGTGTGTGCATTTGAAATCAGAATGTTTGCTTGCTTACATTTGTTTTGGGGTTTTACAATGCTTTTGCTTTCAAGGTACCTGGATAAACATCCAGAATATATTGGAGAAGGTGTTACAATGTCACAATTTTCGTTTCAAGTTCCAAAGCCTTTACAAGAAAACTATGTCAGGAAGCGTCCTCCTCATTCTGCACCTTCCTATGATGCTGTCGACCACGGGACGCCAGCTCTTGATCCCTATAAAGGTACTTTATGAAGTATACCTGATTAATACATTTATCTCAGCATCTTCAAGGAAACTGCATTATTTTCTCTTGGATGAGTTCATTAGTGCTGTGTGCTGTAATAATTAGACATCCATTATTGACTACAGTCTACAAACATATTTTCTCCCTCTTTTCCTCTTCTTCTGTAATCCTGGTTCTTGTTCGTTGTGTCCTACATCATATTGTTTTCTCTATCTGAAAGTTGTATAAATTGAATAAAAAATTTATGCACTGTCATTGCACTTGCTCAAAGCACAATTTCCGTGCAACTATTACCTGCTTTTTAAACTGAATTTGATAATTAGCATTTCATGATCTGAGGTTCATATTCCATTTAGTAGAAAATCGTCCATCAGGTAAGCTGATGAACACATGAAGCTTCAAATGCCTTTTTCTGCTAAAAATGATATTATGTTTCTTGCAGCCATAACATGGGTTGGTCCTGATGAGGACACAAACTTGCAACTCGGTGGAGGGCCAGGGCTCTCGACTCCTTATTCCGAGGTTCCTAATCTCAAGCCTGAAAGTCAACCAACAAAGAAAAAGAGGACACCTTCCAAGCGAAGGTTAAATGGTAAATTAGTTTATAATCTAAACCAGGTGAGAGCGGAACAATCCCCTCAACTCTAAGGATGCAGCTATGATATATATGCTAGTCAATCAAGCAGAGGCTATTTTGGTGCTTACCCTGTGAAATCCTTTTCAAACCTGATGTTCAGGATGCTTTGCAGCTATCTCGCCTCGTATAACTAGATATAGGTCTTTCGGTAAATGTTTAGTATTTGGGACAGGTTTGGGTCTGGAATGAAGGATATTACTGTTGTATACATGTGGTTTACGGTTGAAATGACTAAGTCACCATTGTATGGTGCTACGTTGATGGACACTTTCTTTTAATGTATTAGTCTTAATCCTATAGATTTCAGTGATATGAAAAGGAAAACACAGAGATGAACAAAAGATACGTAATTGACAATATTTTCGACGGTCAGATGAACAAAGCAAAAAATGATTTCTAGTTGTCCTTCACAATTTTTAGCTTTTTTGTATTTTTGTCCTGCTGTTTATTTCTTGGCATTATTGGTCGGCCCAACATGGTTCTTGTGGGCCTCATTCTCAATAGGCAGGCTGGTTTGGCCCTGTCGGAAGTTGCAAAATGTACATGGCATCTAGATATGTCGATTCAACCCGTTTTACACCTCTATGTTAAAGTCTCAAAACCCGAGAAAGAATTGATACGCTTATTAGAAAGGGACTCAGAAAACCTTTCCTTGGAAAAGGTAGAAAATGCATAAATAATCAATAGCTACTTTTGCATACAGCTATTGTGGACGGAATATGATCTGCATACCCCTAATATTATCACCCTGCTTTACAACTTGTACTAGATAATCCAATGTTCTCTCAGTGATGATCTCACGAGGAACCAACAACGGAATCCCAGGAGGGTGAGGGCAAATGGATTTCCCACAATTTTCCCCTGCTA